GAGGGAGAAGCAGGCTCCCCACTGAGCCAGGAGCCCGATGTGGGGCTCGATCCCAGGACCCTGGGATCATGACCTGAGCTGAAGGCAGATGCTTAACCATCTGAGCCACCCAGGCGCCCCTAACTTTTACATTTAAATAGTAGATAAAGGGGCATCTGGGTGCTTAGTGAGTTGATCGTCCAGCTCTTGATTTTGGCTCAGATCATGATCTCAGGGTTGTGAGATAGAGCCCTGTGTTCGACTCCACTCTGGGTGTGGAGCCTGCTTAAGATTCTCTCTCTCCCTCTCCTCCCTCCACCCCCCATCCTGCTCACACTCTCTCTAAAAATTAATTAGTTAATTAATAAACAAGTATTAGATACAATTAGAATCCATTATTAGGAGTAAGACAAGGATTTGGTTATATTTTCTCATGAAATGCCTCAGTAGTTCCCAAATTTCATAAGTTAATCTTTCCCCCTATTATTTGAAAGGTGGCCTTTATCATATAACTTCACTTAATTTTAGTTCCCCTATTAATCCACTTAAATAGAGAATTCTGTAGATTTCCTTGTATGTTCCTCATTAACTAGAGAGCTTTGGAAAATTTAAGTCTTTCAAATAAAGACAAACCTGGGGAAGCTGATTTTTTTCCTAACAAACCAACTTTTCCCTAAATGCACCTGACTCTTCTGGACATTTCTGCAACCAGGTGATATGTAAAATGAGCCGGTGCAGGAAGAGTAACTTACATGCGAGCGAGGGCAGGAAGTTTTCTGGACCTCTGGTTCTTTTCTTTACAGGAGGCAGCTGAGAAAATAAGCACATGTGATAATCCTATGGCACATATTCTTGCACCAGACTCACTGAGTCCCAACCAAACAGAGGAGGTAAGTCCCTGTCGGTAACAAACAAACTGCTCAGGTACCTGGACGAGCATCCAGAGCTGAGAAGCTTTCTGTGTTTGCAATACTTTGCATATTGAGCCAAGAGTTCTTTGTGAACTTTAACATCTTCATATGTGCTGTCAGCCTGGAAACCTGGAAGATTTGCCATCAGATGTTGATCTAGAAAGTAAGCATGGTGCGGAGCAAGGGAGGATTTATCACTTGCTCACTATTTGTCAGCGTGAACTAGCCTTTCCACCAGCAACTACTTCTTTCTTCTGTAACAAGTGTGTGTGTGTGGTGGTGCTGTGGGGGGAGACTTGCAGATGTTTGTAGAACTGACTGTAAAATGTTAAGGAGTAAATTTAAAGGGTTGGTATTTTGGCATGAAATACAGCCACCACCGGAAAATTAGCTTGCATTTTAACTGAATCCTGTTACTTAGATCAGTGGTGTGTTGATGCAGAAACCAAGCAGTGCGACATTCACTAAGTGAGAGCCGAACTTGGATACTACAGATTGGAGAAGTCATGTGAAGAATGTGGACTTGTAGATCCCAAGGCATAATGAAATCAGAGACTGAATCCTGGTTCCACTTACTAGTTGGGTGACCATAGGTGGTTTGAATAACCTATCTATGCCTCAGTTTCCCCATCTGTACACTGGGAATAATAAGGGCTTGTGATGGGAAATAATGAGAGGGTGTGTGTATAACTTAGCATGATGGCCTGGCCCCAGAGCCCAATAAAGGGTTGGGTATTATTAATTTATAGTTACATGGTGGAAACGACATAATTCTCTTTAACAAGAAATACTTGTGGTAATACTTTTTAGACCCCTGACATGCACAATCATAAAACACTCGCTTAAATCATTGCTGCTTTTAGAATTTGGGGCTATCATTTAGAAAAGATATTTAGCAGGGGTGTGATTGTGGAAAAAACTGTGGACTCTGAATTAAAAGATTGCACAGCTGTGTGACCTCAGGCAAGTAACTTACATGTGGGCCCGAGCTTCTCAGAAGCAAAGTGGTGAAATGGGAGGTGGGGGAATTGCTTAAGCGTTAAATGAACTTGGATTTCTTTGACTATAAAAAGAGGTGGGTGAACTGGTTACTGGCAGGTTTCCCAGGCCACCTTTAGCAATTGCAGTTTCTATGGTTGCAAATATTCTTTTTTTTCCCCTCCATTCACCTTTGGATTCTCTTCAGTTTCAAATAACTAGCAAGTAAAGCCCAGATTAGTTATCCAACTTCCTTGTTTTCTCATTAATTCAGTGAATTAGTGAAAAAGGAAAGAAATTCAATATTGCCATTAAAAAATGCGTGTGGTCTATGATAGGTGCTTGAATAATGTTTTTGAATAAAGAAAGAAGGTCGACGGTAAATCAGTTATCACAGACTAATTAGTTAATATTAACGATTGTTATCTCAGGTGACAAAAAAGAGGATCCCCAAATCTTTGCCGCCAAGAGATAGCAGTATCTGAAAACTAGAAAAGAATTAATCGGATGACTAGCAGTTGGTGTCTGGCAGTAATACCACACAACTGGTTCTTTTTTAAGAAATCAGGATTAAAAAAGAAAATTGAAACCAGGTGACTCCCAAGTATAGACCCAACTGTGCAGAGAAACTCAAGGCAAGGGAAGACTTCCTTAAGAAGATGATTCTTGAAAAAAATATTGACGAAGGCAAGGGAGAAATAGTGTTTTGTCAGTAAAGAACACACCTCTGTGAAGTTAATAGATGGTCAAGGGGGAAACAGGTGCAACTCAGACACTTCTGCGAACGCAGCTTTTCTGATACCCACCATGTGTGTGGAAAATGGGTATTTTCACACCCTGCATGTTGTTGTTACCACTTGCCTATTTTGTTTACTTTTGTTGTACTAGAGGTTCTGTGTTTAAACAAAATTCTGTAGTCATTGGGAATTTTCCTGCATTTGAGTTGAGTTAGGGTATACATTTGTGAACAATTTTGTTTTGGTTGCTAATGTGTAGTTAGCAAAGCCTTATATAGGAAACATCGTATTTCATCATACTCATAATCAATAAAATATTTATTGAGATCAATAATTTTGTAGAGAAATACACAAATTCCTAAAGGAATCTCTCTAGAAGGGTTGATGTGATCTTTCTGTGTTTTGGAAAAGGATGTGGGAAGCAAATATATATGTGTATCAAAACTTTTACTTCCAAATTGAAATTATCTAATATATATTTTTAAAAGATTCATTTATTTATCTGTCAGAGAGAGAAAGCACGCACAAATGGGGGAGTGTCAGGCAGAGGGAGAAGCAGACTCCCCACGGAGCAGGGAGCCTGACGTGGGGCTCGATCCCAAGACCCTGGGATCATGACCTGAGCCGAAGGCAGATGCTTAACCTACTGAGCCACCCAGGCATCCCTGAAAACATCTAATATATTATTAATAGAATACTTGATTTGGTACCTGGAAGAAATTTTTCTTTTCTTTTTCTTTTGGATCAATAAGCAACCCAGGTGTTGCAATAAGAACACATCTTACATCATTCTTTCTTTATACTATAGTATAAGCACCTAGTCCTTAACTCAATAATATTTGAGTATCTAGACAGTGAAAAGCAGTTTCAGGGACTCTCTCTGAAGAACAGGAGAAAAATTTCCAGATTACCCCACTGAAGTTCATTACTTGACTCACATTACTTTTAATAGGGAGAAATTTAGATGAGTAATAGCATTGTATGTTGGGGGGGGAAAAGCGAAAATATTTTAAAATCTACTTGTTAAGTGTGTGGCACATTTCCTTGTATCCCAGCCGGTGTGTAAAGAGCCTTTTTTTTCTGTTTGATCAGAGCTCACCGCAATGTAAGCATTGCTTAATCATGTGTCACACACATTCAAACCCCGGCCAATTCTCTGCGAAGTTTCAGACGCACACCCTCTCTCGCACACTCACCTGTCTCCTGGGGCCCACTCGCTGTTTAATGAACCGCGAGCCCGTTTGCGTCCTCCGTGCCCAGGAACACCACCTGTGTACATGCGGCTCGGCTGCTTGGAAACCTGGAGCCCCAGGTCACGTGATCGTTGCTATGAGTGTGGAGGTGCATTTTTCTTTTCTTTCTTACTTTTCCTGCCCTTATTTGTTTGTTTTCTAAGTGGGGGAAATGCTGGAAGTTCACAGGCTTTTGCAAGCTCAAATGTGCAAACTTGGGATTCCGTGGCTTTTCACTGCTGGATTATCTTTGGGTTTATCTTAGGGTGCCACACGTCCGCTCAAGGCTGCCGCTCTGGGCTTTTCTGATGAGCAAGGAGCATTTGAGGCCACGGTGGAGCAATCTAGGCCCAAGCCTGCGGAAGTCCTCCATGCCTGCAAGACCCAGGTGGCCGAGCTGGAGCTGTGGCTGCGCCAAGCCAACGTGGCGTTTGAGCCGGAAACATTAAATGCAGACATGCAGCAGTTGGTGGAACAGCAGCTGGTGGGGTGCCAGGTAAGGCCGAGGGGTTGGAGTTCAGGGCTGGCCTCTGCACCAATCCCCTTCCAAGACTGGGCAAAGTTCTCTTAGAGCAACAGCGTGTTTCTTCCTGTTAACGCTGACCCCTGTGTTTGTCTTGGCCTCAGGTTTTTGTTCTCAGGGGAATTCTTTGAGGAGATTTGTGGAAGCAGAGTATTTGGAGAGACAGTAGCGGGTAAGAGCTCGGAATGTAGAGTCCAGATCCAGCTCCGTCACATTAACCGTGAACTTGGGGACGTTAACTTTCCACCTCGTATTCCTCATGTGGTCGGTTATCCCCTAGGACTTTGTCAGGGTTAAATGAGATAAGATACAAGAACCAGGGTCGGGTGTAGCAAGTACATAAGAAGTGCTCAGTAAATGCTGTTATTTGTGTTCATAATAAGTTCCTTAGAACTTCAGAACATTCTTCTGAAATGAAACCGAATATCCGGATTTGCAAGATCGCAGATAAAGCATAAATGGGCTTTGCTGCCATTTCACTGTGAATGCTCCTACTCTTGCTGAGGGGGGTGGGGACAGGAATATAAACTTCCTTGCCGTTAGTCGTAACATTTGCTGGCTCGGCCCAAAGGTTGGGATCTCTGTGTCCCTCCAGGGAGAAGCTAGAATGACGACATCACCGCAGCATAATGAAGTGTCACAATACCTGAGGCGCCTTCCCCAAGGATGGTTAGATCAGCCTTGGTCCGATGTCTCGGCCTGATTGGCTCTTTTGTCTGCCGTAGCGGACACCAGGAATGAGGACACCCTCTCAGAGCACCCCCATATCACCTGGCCACAGGGAGCTCCTCCCACGATAGCCCGTTATGGGGTTGGAGGTAGCCCATCCTTGGTCATCCCCTTTCTCCACTTGGGCCCACAGTCTTACTGTATCCAGCGCCTGCCTCATGGGGTACCCAGGTGGACAGGCTGACCTCCTTCCCCAGGAAGCTCCCCACCTCTGACCCCAAAAGTCAGCTCTTGATAGGGCAGGTTCACTTTAATACTGGCACTATTCGTGGTCCGGCTGACGAGGCCCAGGCAAGTCTGGAAAAAACGGTACTACGGCACAGAGCCACATTGTGCTAAATTGAACCTGAGGTGTTCGAGATGTTGAGTCCCAGGATAGATTTGCCAATTGATTGCCTTGCTGACTGGATAGACCCCCTGCTGATTTCCTTGGTCACCACCAGAATCCCGTTCTCATGCCCCTTGTAGCGAGGTCACGGATTTGGGGGCTGTCAAGGGAAAGACACAACCACAAGGTGGCAGTAGCACACAGCCAGCTTTCTTCGGGCAACATTTTGGCGGGAGCTCAAGGCCTGGGGAAATCCCTCTGTACAGGTGCCCTTCCAGACACTGTGGCGGGAAATAGAGGTGGGACCACGACCTCGAAGCGGGGGAGGAAGGCAAAGGAACTCCCAGGGGAGCAGGGAATCCAGAGGGGCTTGTGTGTCTAGGTGATGTCAGAGAGCTCCAAAGGGCAACAGAGGCTTGGGTCTTTTAGAGCCCCAGAGTTGTGTCTTAATGATAGGGGGCAGATGTGGGGTCCCACTCTGAGTTTGGTGCCAGTAGGATTTGAGCTGATGGCTCTGGCCTGCTGTGAAAAAATAAGCAACCTAGGGACCGATGTACCGGGGCCATCTTTGGCTCATTTATAGAACACCATGGCACATACAACTTAATATTGAAATATATAAAAAGCCTCCCAGGAGCCTGTAAAAAACATGAAGTTCCCACTGGGAAAATGTCCAAAGGACAGGAGCGAACAGATCAGTCCAGAAAAAATTATATTGGGTCATTTAATATTTGAGAAGAAATGTTCAGCCTTGATTGTTAAGAACATGTGAATCGAAACAGCTGTTGTTTTGTTCTCATGTTATATTGGCAAAAATTGTATCATCCTGGAAAACTCTGGATGTACTACTCTGATTGCCTCAGTGTTTTGGGAGGTCAGCTGTCAGCATATAAAATGTCCATCTTATTTGACCTAATAACACCATTACTTTAAATGTACCCTCCGAAAATAACCCAGAAAGGAGAAAAATGTTTTTGGCAGTGTTAATTGCAAACGTGAAGAACTGGAGCCAGCTTAAAGGCTTAACCAGTAAGGAAGTTACATGAATCGTGGAATATCAACTTGCAGCTAGGAAAGTGGGAATCATGAAGCATATGTCTGTAGACACATGAAAAAGTATACATAAAATAGCTAAATGGAAAAAAGGAGCACAAAATTACAGTACATCTTGAGGCCACTCTAAAACCTATGATTACATATTGTTTAAGCTTAGAAGAGTCTGTAGAGGATACAAGAAGTTTGCTTGGATAGAGGACTTGTAAGAATATATTCTTTGAAAATCTGTGTGTTTGTTTTTAAAGATTTTATTTATTTGACAGAGAGCACAAGCAGGGGGAGCGGCAGGCAGAGGGAGAGGGGGAAGCGGACTCCCTGCTGAGCAGGGAGCCCGATGCAGGGACTCCATCCCAGGACCCTGGGATCATGACCTGAGCCGAAGGCAGACGCTTAACTGAATGAGCCACCCAGGCGCCCCTGTTTTTGTTTTTTGAGATTTTTTTTATTTCAAAGTAATCTCTACACCCACTGTGGGGCTTGAACTCATAACCCCAAGATCAAGAGTCTCATGCTCTGCCCACTGAGCCAGCCAGGCACCCCTGAAAATGTGTTTTAAGGATAATTTTTCCTTCGACACAACAAGTTTTAGCGCACACGATCCCAGTGCTGGAATGGGAATCTGAAAGCCGCCGTTGCGTTGTGTGCTCGGCCAGTTGGCATGACCGTTTGGGCTTCAGAGCCCCAGAGGAGGGCAGACTTGATCTGTTGGGGAAGAATACAATGACAGTGACTTACAGGGAAACTTACTTCAGCTAGCTGATTTATTTTTAGATCCATGTGTAAGTTGGCCGGTTGTATCAATGACTAAGTGTTTTAGATTCCAAATTATTTCTTCAGTCATCTTCTGATATTTTGGAAGTTTATATGGACTTTTAAAAGAGAAGGAAAAGATCAAGGGAAAGAACCTTCCAAGAGTTCCGTGAAATTCTTTTTCTATTACGACTCGACACTCGGATTGCAACAGGAAGAAGTTAGGAAAGTTCGCGGGGGGAGGGGTGGAATAATGATAGTTGGCATAGACTGTGTGTCAAGCACTGGCTTTAGTGCGTGGACTTTAACTCTTAACTCCTCAGAGTAACCCTAGGAGGTAAGTTCTGTTATTACCCCCATTTTACACATGACTGAAGGCACATTCATGTAAAACATAAGGTGCTCAAGTTTACCCAGCTAAGTGGGATCTGAACTCAGTCTATTTCCAGTGTCTGTGTTTGTTTGTTTATTTGTTTAAGTAATCTCTACATCCAACATGGGATTCGAACTCACTACCTTAAGATCAAGAGTCGCATGCTCTTCCGACTGAGCCAGCCAGGCACCCCAGTGTCTATGTTCTTAACCACTTTGCTATGCTGGATACATTCAGCTGTCTTTTCTAAAGTGATTATAGAGCCACTTAGATTATTTTGGAGAGTGATGTCTGCAAGTTGGGGTTGGTTTGGTTGTACCCCTGTCCAAAAGCTCAGGAATTACATGGAAATTGTTGTTTTCCCAAGATCCCTTCTAATCTGTGTTTCTGAGACTTGTTACATATACTAGGTAGACAGAGTGAATCTAACTCATTTTAGAGTATAATGCTTGTTCAAGACCAAAACCATGAATACTTAAATGATTTTGTTTCCTAGGCCATGCTAACAGAGATCGAGCACAAGGTTGCCTCTCTGCTGGAGAGCTGCACAGATCGAGGGCCGGGAGACAGTGGGGCCACTCAGCAGGAGGCTGAAGCTCTTTCCGTGAAATTAAAGACCGTCAAGTGCAATTTGGAAAAAGTCCAGATCATGCTTCAGGAGAAATACAGTGAAGACCAGGTAAAACACAGCCACATGTAGACGTGTGTGGGTAGATAATATGGGAGAGCTACCAGGAAGAAATCTGGCCGAGGTGGTGAAACAGCTACAGAAAAATTACACTAAGTAAGAAAGAATGAAGCCTCTTAAAGCTATAAGGGATGGTCGTATTGACTCTTGGTACTGATTCCATTTTACCTTGAAGTTTTCCTACCTAGGCTGCTGTTGGTGACGGCGTAGGTTTGGTTTGGATTGGTTTGATCGGATTGATCGTTCTTGCTAGTAATGAGGTGGTGTGAGCCTTCTTCATAGAAGAAAGATAAGTTTTAAAGGAAGTTTGTGACTCCAACTGACTGGAAAATGAAGCTCTTATAAAGATTAAAATTTGACATCAGGAATATAAAACCTGTTTCCGGGGTCCTTTTTGTTATTCATTTACAAATATATGTACTGATCAAAGTGTCATACAGTTATAGTGTTCTTGTGACTTTTGAAAGAGTTCTGTATTTATAAACGCAAATATGCATCTATGGGTAGGGTCTTCCTATATAAGATTTGCACCTATACTTAGGAGATGGTGGTTCCTACTCAGAGGACTTACATTCACAGAAATAGGATTGACTGCAGATACACAGGCTCTACACTTCCCTTTCATCCTCATGTGGTTCTCTCCTTTTAAAAAATATTCTGGACATAAGGGAAATTTGAATGCCTAAGCATAAAGCTACATCTCTTTTTTGTTTTTTTTTTACTTTGTTCTTAAAACAGAAAAGCAGTACATTTCCTGGCTTTTAGTAATTCATTGGATGAATTACATTGAGGAAGTAAGATGACCACATCATCAAATATAATGGTTTTTTGCAGTTGTTTTGAAATAAGTACATGGAATCGTAGTATATAATTGCAGTAAATTTCAAAATACAGTCACTTTATATAAAACTTTTCCATCATATAGTCTCATTATTAGAACTGAAATAAAGTGGGTCATTTTTTTAAAATAGTGTGCCATCATAAAATTTTTTGCAGCATTCTGCCACTCTAAAGAAACCTGCAGAGCATCAAAATGATCTCCAACCAGATAACCTTTCTACATTTGAATCTATTGTAACTGAAAGGCCACAGTTCAGCAGACAAAAAGATTTCCAGCAGCAACAGGTAATTGCAGCCCCTAACAGATATAAGGATAAGAATAGAGCTTTCTGCATGGAATCTCCCTTTGAACTAAGTACCAAACTGCCATTGGGGTGTTTTCTTACGTGACTGGATGGAAAGTGTGATATACGGTTGTTCCTGCATGTTGAGCATGTGCTGTAGGAGCTGCTTTGCTTTCATCTTCTGCAGGTGGGGATGCTCTAACTTTGCTACTTTATTAACTTGCACCTTATTTCAAACTAAGCAGATTTCTTCAGGGTGAACTTACCTCTGTAACTGTAATACCTCTTTACCTACTATTTCAAAATGTGTTGGCATATTTTGGGGGATTTTCCATGTGTGTAATATATATTTGATATATACTTGGTCCTTGTGTGAATGTTTTAAGTAGGTTTTTGAGAAATAAAAGTTAATGAGAACAAGCAAGCAAGAAAGGGAAATAGTAAATAATAAATTAGGAAGTGGTTCAAAATGAGATCTCAACAGAAAAACCATTGGGCATTAATTGAAAACTTTGGACTGTTTGAATCTCACTCAATTATAGGTTCTGGAGTTAAAACCAATGGAACAGAAAGATTTCATCAAATTCATCGAATTTAATGCCAAGAAAATGGGGCCCCAGCATTGCCAACCTGATAAAGATACAACTCAGAAATCATCTGAAAGGTAAAACATTTTTGGAGTTGGACATTCAGCAAGTTGTATGATTGGGAGAATTAAGAGCATTTCTTTTTAAATCACTTGTAAAACATTGTCTGAATGTAATAAAATTTCTGTATGTTAATGATTCTTTTCACCTTTTATTTTCCTTTAACAGCATTAGGGCATCAAGTCCCGAAAATGATGCTCTAGACTCTGTCTTGCCAACTCACGGCCAAAGTGGGGATAAGTGGCAATATTTACATCACGAACTCTCATCAAAACTCGGGCTTCCGCTACCTGAGCAGGTGCAGCCGCAGGTCAGTGCATGCCTGCGCATGGTGTAAATAATAAATAAGCATGTTTATCTTTGAAAATGCAACAAACGTTCATTAAATACACATCTATGTTCTGCATTATGTAGTAGTTTATTTTCAGAAAGCAAAGATGCCCAGTGCATTTTTTCATTTGACTCACCCCTTTTCGCCCTCCTGGAAATCTGCAGTAAAGGCCACTCCTTCGTGCTTCTGTGGCACCCTGAGCTTCCCTAATTACAGCTCTTACCATACTGTGTGTCTGTTTATTTGTCTGTATTCCCCATCGGGTGGTATGGGAAGAAAGACTGTGTTTGCCTGGTTCACATTTGAGTGCCTGGCACAGTACCTGAAACATTTTCAAGTCTCAGTTTTGATATGTTGAGTGAATAAAGGAATGAATAATATATGTTTAAAAAAACACTTTAAAAACAATACAGTGCTATATTACTGTCATTCATTCATCAAGAGCTAATTTGGAATCTGCAGTGCCAGATTCCAGCCCCTCTTCCAGTGGTACCTGTGTTCCATCAACATGCTCTCTTACTGCCATTGTAGGTTTTATTCGTACTGCCCCAGCTACCGCTGGATTTCTCTCTAACCAGGGAGCCCGTGAGCAGAATAACACTGTGACTCACAGCAGTCAAGCTTTTGCCTTCAGCTTTGCACTCAAGCAGTAGAACTTACCATCTTTTTCACAGGTCTCCAGTCGGTGGGAACTTTTCAGCTCTATTCTGACGAGAACCTTCTTTGACCTATTAATGTTGAGTTAAACTCATTGGTAGGGCTTCAGTCTTGGTTTCTCCTTGTCTTACACACTGTAACATGTATATTGTTTGTTTTCCAACAGTAGAACAGCCTCAGGAGTTCTTTTCCCCAAGCAGAGTCAGATACCACCTCACCCTGGGGCTTTGTATTTATTCGTTTTCCAGTATGAAAAAGGAATGAATTCTGAACCTTTCTCTCTGCTAAAGTCACAGCACATTTTTAATACTTATTTCATTTTTCAGTGACAAATCAAGATGCAAATCTGTCCCTGGAGGTGACTGTGTTCTATTCTAAGAGTTGGCCATATACCGGGGGCCTACCAGTAAATGGGAAAAGAAACCGCTAACCTCTTAACATGAAGGGTATTGCTACTAAATTGAAAGAGTAGTGATTTTACTCTATTTTTCAAGTGATGGTTTATTTTCCCTCATTTTGATATTAAATGGACCCTTAAGTGTCTCAGTAAGCCTTCTCATGACCTTTCGAAGCTGTCCACAATATTTAAGATTTAACTATTTTGTCTGACCAGTGACAAGATAGCAGAAACCCTGACGTGAAGGTAACACGTGAAGGCAATTTTGCTGTTTTCCATTAACATCACCAGGATCTCGAATGGTAATAAGGCTTCCCATTCTCATACAGGTTGCCACAGATATGAGTGTTCTGCCCAGTGTGAGTGTGTATAACTTTAAATGCCCAACAACTGAAGAACTGAAAACATACACCACACAGCTGGAAGACCTGCGTCAAGAAGCCAATAATCTGCAGACCCAGGTAGCAATGTCACGTTACATATTCTCCTCACTGCAGTATCGAAGAAGGGAAATGGGATGCTGTGAATTAGTCATAATTGTCTTTATTGAATAAATAATAGAATACATAATGGAATGGGTCCTGCAATTGCAAAGAGAATCTATCTCTTTTGCCAACTCACTTTTTTTTTTTTTTAAATTTTTTTTTTTTTTAAAGATTCCAGTTATTTATTTGAGAGAGAGAGAATGAGAGAGAGCACATGAGAGAGGGGAGGGTCAGAGGGAGAAGCAGACTCCCCACGGAGCAGGGAGCCTGACGTGGGGCTCGATCCCAAGACCCTGGGATCATGACCTGAGCCGAAGGCAGATGCT